GATGGTTTGTGTTGGAAGCGACCTTAAAGATCTTCTCGTTCCAACACCGTGGGCACGGACACCTGCTAATAGGGACACTATTCCAGCTGCTCTGAGCCCCATCCAGCCTGGCCTTGGACACTGCCGGGGATGGGGCAGCCACAACTCCGCGTAATGCGTGCCAGGGCCTCACCACCCTCACAGGGAACAAATTCTTCCTCAGAGCCACTCCAAACCTCCGCTCCTACAGCCTGAAATTATTCCGGCGGCGGAAAACACCACAAGCCTTCAGAGCCCCAAACACTAACAACAACAAGAACAGACACCCGCGGAGCTGGGAGGGCAGAACGCCGCGGCAGGGCAGCCAGCACAGGCACCACCACCGCGCACCGCAGGACGGCCCCAGAGCCTCCGCAGCACCGCGCGGCCCCGGGCAGCGGGGACACCGGGACACCGCCCCGCCCCGGAGCGCTGCGGGCGGAGCCGGGGCTGCGCAGGAAGGGACCCCGCTCCCGGCCGCCCCCCGGCACTCACCACGCTGAGCTGCGCCCCCATGGCTGCCCCGGCACACCGCGGGCCGCGCCCCGCCGCGCCCGGGGCCGTCCCACGCCGCGAAGAACCGCGCCGGGCCCGCCCCGCGACGTCACGCACAGCCCCGCCCCCGTGACGTCACGCGCGGCGAACTGCGCCTGCCCGCCCCGCCCCGTGACGTCACGGCCGCGCTGTGTGAGGGCAGCGCCCCGAGCGCCCTCCTGCGCTTTGTCCGCTGCGGGAATGGCGCGGCCTGCTGCCGGCTTTAAGCATTTGCCACACCACCCAGTGCCACCCCCGCCACGGGCACGGACACCTTCCCCTTGCCCAGCTGGCGCTGAGCCACATCCAGCCTGGCCTTGGGCACTGCCGGGGATCCAGGGGCAGCCACAGCTGCTCTGGACACCCTGTGCCAGGGCCTCAGCACCAGAGAACAATTTTTCCTTATACCCAATCTAGCCCTGCTCTTTGTCAGTGTGAAATCATTTCCCCCTTGTCCTGTTGTTATAAACGAAAATTTGTCCAGCCACATTAAAATGAAAAAATAAAATATTTATTTTGCAATCCAATTCTATCTAGCCAGCCACAAGGAAAGAACAGAGCCGAGCCCGGGGCCGGCCCTGGGTGTGCAACAAGGAGTCAGCCTCAGCAGAGGTTTTCCTCTGTGCCCACACGCCTCCATCCCGGTACAAGCAGTTTTCATAGGGAAAATTCCCCGAGGCCAAGATTTTTGCAATCAGTCTTTTCTTCCATTCAGAGTCCATAGGTTAATAAGATTTTCTTTTTTGGTGATGAAGAAGAACAATTCAGTGTCTGGAGTTGTTGGATCCCTTGATGAAGTTTACGGGAACCCTGCATTCACATGTATCTGCCCAAGGATTTCCATGATACTCATCTCTGGGAATCCTGTATCCCTCCAGACATGGCCCATCTCCTGGCCTGGCCAAGTCACATCCTTTTACTTGTAAATCAGATTTCAACATACACCAGATTTTGCCTGTGAGGGTTGGGGGGACTCCTAATACAAATGTGTATACTCCAACAAATAGTCAATATCACATATATCATACTAAAAATGGCACAAATTAGATCTACTACACGTAACACTCACTCCAGGCCCTCGCCAAGTCTCCATTTTTCCTGTGGGTCCCCTTCAGGCACTGCAAGGCCACAGTGAGGTCACCCCAAAGCCTTCTCTTCTCCACGCTGAGCAATCCCAGTTCTCACGGCCTTAAGAATTAATTAGCAGCAATGTTTATCCAAAAAGCACCAGAACTGAGCTGTGCAATAAGATATAGTTTCAGCCAGGCTCCCTTAAATTTTGCTTACACCAATGTGTGAAAATCAGTGACTAATAACCACATGTGTCTTTGTGTCTGTGCAAAACATGAAACACTTCAAATCTCTTTAATTACTTTGTCTTCACATATTATGTCTTCGCAATATGCCTTCAATGATTCCTCGACAGTTTCTCACAAAATATGCCTGGCAGTCCTAAAAATAAAATAATAAAAAAAAGTCTTCCCTTATCCCTTAGGCCCACACAGAGGTGCTGAGCCCCGGTGAGCCCAAGCAAATATTTCCTTTCATCCTCATGATTTGCTGAGTGGGAACCTGGCTCATCTGGCTGCGAGAACATATCATAAGTCAATCATGATTTACTTATTAAACCTGGGAATTAGCACTAGGAAGTGAAAGAATACTAACAGACTAACCTAATGCTAAGAAGGTTGTGCCTCAGTCCAGGTATGCACATTTAGCTGCAGGGATGGAGTTATTTATGCCTCTTTTTTCCTATGACAAGAGCATGCCTGGCTCTGTAATCCTCATGGTTTTCTCTTTCAGGATGAAAGCTGCTGCATCTGAAGCTCCCCAGTAAGTGCAGGGATTGTAAATACCACTGGCTACAGAGAAGGACTCCAGGGGGAGTCTGGGAGGCTAAGGCAAAGGGAGATAACTGAGACAGGCACAGGGATCCTGGAGTTTGGTGCCAAAAAATCTGGCAGGAGAGGCTCCAACTTGAATATTAATATTTAAGGAAGGGTGGAGACCTCGGTGTACCCATGTTCTGCTTTCACTATGCTCTGACCTGGCTGGCATTCAAGTGACCAGCCCAGGATGTGTCTCCACTGCTTTTCAGTGTGTGTCAGCTTGTGGAGACTTGGCAGCAATAGTCAAAACTCCCATGGGAATGTCCAGCATCCTCAGTGTCTCATAAACTTTCCTCTTTCTGTGCAGAATGTAACCCAAAGACCTGCTCTGCCTTTTCCTGGGAAAGGACTGAGTGTGCTGTAGATCTGCAGGGTGTTTGCTCCAGCTGGCAGCTTTCACTCAGTCTCCCTGAATGAGCCTGTCCAGCCCAAACCTGCTCTTTGTGCTGGTGTGAGCCCTGCCCGCTTTGGTCTGGAAGCCTGTAAAACTCAGTGTTCTCACTCACGCCTCTCTAGATTGACCAAAGAGGTTTAAATAACTCTTTCTCCCCTCAAGGAAGTGTAAGCACCAGACTAGAAGTGACAAACCAACACTTACTCGTTGGCCACCTTGACTGGAAAAGCAAAATATTTAGGCCAAAAATGCACAGAGATGCCTACATGCTTTAGAAACATGTTTAATTCCCAGGATCTCCTTGGTCCTTTACGTTGGCAAAGGTCAGCATCTGATGCTTGAGGTGCTGGTTTTGTCAGGCAGAACTTCTAGAAGTTTTTTGCCCTACTCCTTTGGAAATGCTGGGTACGTGTGAGTGAGCACCAAACACTCCTCCCATTCCCTTGGGACAGAAAAAGAGGAACAGAGCACAGAGGCAGCCTGGCCCCAGCTCTTGCACAAAAACCACGTCCGCTGCTCTGTGCAATGGGTTTGACAAAGCTCTGGCTGGGCTCTGCTGCAGAGGAAGCCAATATTTGTAATAGCACCCATGGATACCAAGGCTGCTCTTGGCACATTCTCTTTTTCTGTGTTAGACCTGTGAATGACCCAGAGTCTGTACTGATCTAATTTGCCTTCGATTAGTGTTTAGTTTCTGTCAGCAAACACACTCTTTCACTCTCCTCAGGATCTCTGCGTTTTTCTTATAACAGTGTCCAAATCAAAAGACAGAAATTGTAAAAGACATACAAGTACACGGTTGGTTGTGAAATTGCTGGTGATGCTACTGAGCTGTAATCTTATTAAAGATGAACTTAAATTCATTGACTTCAGTGATGATGCTGCTTGTAAGTGAAAATTCCCTAGGCTCCCATCTGGGCTCTTTCTGCTAGTGTGAGTAAAGAAGTTGCAATTTTTTAATAGACAGAATATGCCCACTAGCTTTTGTATTTTAAATGAAAGCATAAGAGTTCCTGCATTCAGTTGATAAACTGGGACAGTTGACAAATCCAAGGCACTGGATTTTCATTATTTACCTTGTTTACCCTGAAGTGCAATAAATACTAACCAGATGGTAAAGAAGATTTCTGTTAAAATTAAGGATATTCAGTTTTGAGATGGTTTAATTTCTCCTACTAGTGTCAGAAGGAAGCTTCACTTTTAAGTGTTTTAAGTGGGCTGCATATCTTGTTCCCTGTGCAATTTTGTGTGTCTTCATCACCAGGGGCTTTATTTAGCCCTAAATTGGTTCTTTGAAGGGGTTCATGGACCAGAGGTGCAAAAGCACTTGTAAGACTGGTATCTAGCATCAAGCCATTCTGGCTTCTCTACATACATATATCTAGTTTAGACCTAAAGCTGTGCTTTTCAGAAATTAATTATGATGAAGAAGAAGATATCACAAGTACCAACCAAACAACAATAAGCTTTAAACCATCTGAGGGTTGATTTAGCCACAAAATGAATGCAAGATTCCCAGGATAGGCACCAGCACCTGCCACCACTTGTTTCCAGTGGCACATGGAAAGTTCTCCCTTTCTAGAACATTTCTCGTTTATAACACCTTCTAATATTCACAGGATCACACGTAGCAGTTTCAGCTCTAAATAGAGATGCATTTGTTGGGTTTTTTCCCTTCACCACCTTTGATTTTTTTTTTTTTTTGATCTCAGATTAATTATCGTCTTCCCTTCTACTGTCAAATAAAAACTCGATACAGAATAAACAGGACTAGAATGTCCTGTCCACTTCAAAGCTTTCAGACTTGCAGTGCTTGTTTCTGGGCTAAAACTTCATCCAGAGACATAAAAATCCATTTGGCAAATAATCCATGATGCAAGACAAAGTGAGGCAGGAGCCTGCTACAGGTGCCTCTGACTTCCTGGTGTGAGTGTTCCTGCACTGAGAGCGCTGTGAGTTGTGGCGCTGTCCTCAGACTCTTGTGGGAATTGGCACCTCCTGCCTCTCCTGTGCCTTCCTGCCAGGCTGAGTGACAGTCCTCAGTGGGCAGGAGGAGCATAAGGGGAGCACAGCTCGTGCCTTGGACTACGGGAGGATTGCTGAGCTTCTGGCTTCTGCCTTCTCCCTGCTCAGAGTATTTCCCAAGAGAAAAACTTCTTCCTGGCATGGCAAGTGGGTAAGAGATAATCATACTAATTCTCCTCTAACAGGCAGGGTAGGGGGGATGAGATATATTTTTCTGTAAAAAGGGTGAACATTACATGACATGCAGCACAGCAAGAACCTTCTTCCTCTTTCTGTTCTGTTTTAGTGACTCACTGTAAATCGGTGAGGCTACTGAATCTCTAGCTTAAAATAAAGGTGATGCCAAAATGAGATTGTGCTTAAATATAGTTGGTAACTCAGAATCAGTTCTTCAAACATCAGCTGCCTGCCCAGGACCTTGACAGATTGTTTCACTCTCATGTTTGCCCCTTGACGTTGCCTTTTCCTTTCCACATACAAAACCTGCCTTATGTATCTTTTGGTATTTCAAATACCAGCTTTAAATGGAAAAAACAAATCACTGGACTTAAACAGAAGACATAGACACTAGCATAAGATGAAAATCTAGAGAATTGTTTCTATCTTCTGTTAGCCATAAAAGCTGTAACATGTATTTCACAACATTTGAACCAAGTTTTTTAAATGATTGGAAACTTCTTGTAAATGGCTGCTCATCAGGTGTTCCAAATTCTTTTCTTCTCTATGTAAATGTTAAAGGCTTTATAAAATTGCATGCCATTGAAAGGATCTTTGAAAGTAAATTTACTTTGGAGAAGGTGTTCAATCAGACCTTATTTGCAGGGCTTCATGTGACCCATTCACAATACCTGTTCTTCTTGCTCTAACACTCTTGACTTGCTCACATTATTTGTCACTGACCTTTAATTCTTTTCATGTCTTGAATAATTTCTGATTTATAGTAATAAAGTCTTCTGCTTGGAGCATTGTTTTGGGTGGAATGAAGAATAAAACTGAGATTCTTTGACTCTAAACACACTGCTAGTGCATCAGTTGCTATTGCAAAGAACCTCTCCCAGGTTTTCTCAGCTCTTACAGTGCAGACTGAGTGTTGTTACTGGGGTGGTGCTTTGCTCACGTAAGCACATCCAAGCAAGGCTCCAAATGGACAAAATCCAATTGGCCAGACTTCTCACACAGAAATAATTAATTCTATGTGAAGGCATAAATCTAACAACTCAGAGCTTTCACCATAGGGAAGGGACTGAGAATTGATGATAAAAATCTGTTTTGAGTCACCCATGTCATTGTGTTGCAAACCAGGGAGAAAATACACAATACCATTTTCCAGGACAATCTTACCTACATGCTGGTGTGTCATGGATTTCCATGAAGTTGTTTGGCATCTTCTCATTGAAGTTGTCTCACCTGGTATGTGTAAGCTAAGTTTATGGCCCTTTTTAAAGAGATACTATCCAGAAAGAGTTTTTACAAGATGACTGTATAAGTTGCTAGACAAGTTTTTCGCTTTGGCAAGGGTATTTTTTTTTTTTTTTTTTTTTTAAGGACTGTTCTAAAAATTTGTTTTTTTTTTTTTTTTTTTTCCTCAGTTGCAGCATAAACAGGTGCTCTCTCTGTTTGGAAACTAAAGGTACAACAAAAAAGGAGAGGAAAAGTCCATGATGATATTGTGGTAGCACCTAGCAGAGATAAAGGACAGTAAAGGCTTTTACTTCATAAAATTTAGTGATTTCAGTTTTGGGACAAGTTTTCTGAACAGAGAAATACAATTAGTAGAAGTATATTTATTGAACAAAAATGAGGATTGAAATCTGTACATACACTCTTATTGTAACCCTCTCCTGAGTAGACACCTTTAGCTCATGTGATATTTCATATTTCTAAAGCAGTGCCCTACAGTGCTTTTATAAACAGTGACAAATCTGCTAAGAGCAGACTGAGAGCAAGTGAATATTAAAGAGATGATAGATCTCTCCTAGATAGGTGACTGAAACCAAAATATACACATACTAAAAGATATGTACATAAACTACTGTATCTGTGAAACAAAATATTATAATAAAACCCGAGTGACACCCTCCCTAATGTTACACATACCTTGGATGTTCAGCAGCCAGCAGACTCCTCTTCACCAGCAGTAGTTTCTTCCAAAGTAAAAACTCTATTAAACATAGTATGATGGTTCTCAAACAGACAAGATAAGCTGATACAGAGGAGCAGACAGCAGGACGGTCCAGAACGCAGAACAAAAGTGATCCAATAAAATTTGGGCAGTCCACAGTAAAGGCATGAAGTTTGAGAAACATCTCCAGTACTGTTCTATGAGCTCACCAGTCCTGTCATTTGGCCTTCATTTGAGCTGCTGAAGTGAGCAGTTTTCTGTTTGGTGTTGGTTTGTAAGCTCTTTTGAGAAGAGCTTACTCTTTGTTAGACTCCCGAAAGAATATGGAAGCACGGCTGGTAAAACTGCTGCTGCTGTGGCTTCTGTGGGAGCTCCTGGGGACATTGAGCAAGGGCCTCATTTGGGCTGCCCAGCCAGTGTTGACAATGCCCCACGAGCCCCACTTACTGTACAAGCAGAGCCTGGGGTTTGGGCAGGGGCTGAATGAAGCTCCTCTGTGACAGCCTCCTTCTTCTCCACTGTGAGATCCATGCAAGTACCTGTTCCAAGCACAAATCTTCCTTCACATTCCTGTTTAACCCCGGCAACAAACATATCCTTTGTCTCACATACACTGGAATTTCTAATAATCAGATACTGACACCTATTAAAGCCCAGTTAAAAATCCAAGTGATCTTTTAGATTTCCCATCCACAGCTATCCCAAAGTACCAGAGAACCTGAGGGAAAATGGACCATCAGTGCCTCCAGCGTTGCCTAGGAACGCAGTGGCTCAGATCCACAGCTGCAGGCAGGCTGGGGCGTGGCAGCTGCTGTAGTTGTGGTTATCTACCCTGCCAGTGAGCCTTTACCGTCTTTGTTTGCTCTTCCTCCTAGAAAGCATGGAATTTGCCACTGGCAGGAAGATGCAGCAAGTTATCTCTATCCTGGGCAGAACAGAAGGAGAAGACATAACACTAATCAGAGCTGGGCTTGAATGTGCCTTGGTTCAGTCTGGGAAAACCAGTTGTTAAAATCATGGCAGGTTGCCCCAAGAGCTTTCTGAAAGAAATGGCAATTGTTGACAGATTTCTGTACTTTTCTTCTTTTCTGCAAAACATCTTTTTTGGAGGAGAATTCAAAATTATCAAGTGGTCCTTCTCTGGGCTTTGATGCATGTGCTGGTTTGTAACTGATTGATTCCACTGTCAGTTAATTAAAGATTAATCCACCTCTCTTTTTCTCCACTCAGTTGTCCTGATCCCCTCTTAGTGTGGACATAATGTACTTGAAACTGGAGCTACCTCTGGGCACTTCATCACAATAACAACCTCTCTTGGTTTGACACTGGCCGAATATCAGGCATCCACAAGAATCATTCCCTCACCCTCTCCTACCACAGAGGAGAGAAAAAAAAATGAACAAAGGGTTTATGAGTTGAGATAAGGACCAGGAGAAAACACTCCAAGGCCAAAACAGGCTCAACTTAGAAGTACAAAGTTAATTTATTACTAACAGAGTCAGAGGAAGATAATGAGAAGCAAAATAAGCCATTAAAACACATTTTTCCCCCAAGCCCCTCCCTCCTTCCCACCAAAAGTGCAGGGAGACAGGGCATGGGGATTTTTGGTTAGTTTATCACCCAAGATCTTCTTCCACTGCTCAGGAAGAGGAGTCCTTCCTCTGTGGGACTGTGGGGTTCCTTCCCATGGGAGACAGTTCTCAATGAACTTCTGGGTCCAAATCTCATGAGCAGCAGTCCTCCCAAAACTGCTCTAACATGAGTCTCTCTTTCCATGGAGTGCAGTCCTCCAAGGCCAGGCTGCTCCAGCCTGGAAGCAAAGGCTCTCTCTCTCCACCAGGTCTTCCACTGGATCACAGCTTCCTCCAGGCATCCACCTGCTCCAGTGTGGGCACCTCTCCCATGGGCTGTGGGTGGATCTCTGCATCCCCCATGGATCCCCAGGGGCTGCAGGGGCACAGCTGCTCCACCATGCTCTCACCACAGTCTGCAGAGGAACCTGGGCTCTGGTGCCTGGAGCACCTCCTCCCCAACTTCCGCACTGACTTCAGTGTCTCCATGTTGTTTCCCTCACATATTCTCACTTCTTCCTCTTCTCTGGCTGGGAATAAAACTGCCAAATTTGTGTTGTTGATTTTCTTCTTAAATCTGTTATCACAGAGGCCTCATCACCATCACCTCTAACTGACCCAGCCTTGGTCAGCAGCATGTCCATCTTCAGAGCCACCAGGGACTGGCTCTGCTGGACACAGCAGAAGCTCCCAGCAGCTTCTCGCAGAAGCCACCTCTGTGTCCCCACCAGCTACCAAAAATCAGGCCATGCAAAACCAACACACAACCCTATCTAAGTTTTGTTGATAGACAAATGGACAGAATTCTGAAAACTGTACACTATTATGCAGGACAAGACTCCATTAAAATTTAGGGAAGGAGAAGCTTGGGTAGGTATGTGCATGAGAGATCAGTGCATGAGGGATTTTTATTGCATGCAAACACAGCATTTAGAGACTTACTTACCCTTTGTCACCACTACCTTTATGCTGGGATAATCACATGGCAAAGGAAAACATTCTGTGCGGAATCTTGCTTGAAGGAAGAAGGGAAGAGTTTTTAAGATTGCTGCGAGAAAAGCATCATAAGGGAGAATTTTTTTGCTTCCTGTTATGTTGGCAGTGTTGTTGCATGCTGGGAACAATCTCCTGCTTGCCTCTGGTTTGTGCACAGAATCCTTGGGAATGAAACACCACCATGGTCTTTTTTATTTCATCACATGAAAAACCACAGGAACACTTATCAACACAGACTTTGTTGTCTGACAATCTAAGGGAAGACTCAGGTTTTCTTACAGTTTACCTGCATTCATTAAAAAGTGAACCATAAGTATTTTAGTTTTTACATCAGTACTGACAGGAAGATGTGGGGAGAAAGAGAAACTTGATGCCAGGCTGATATCCAAAATATGGAGTGGCATTAGAAGACTCTAGAAGTGACTTGCAGAAATAATAGCACATTATTAAATAACCTTTTTTTGTGCCTTACATGTATTCCTCTGTATTTCTTGGCAGGAGGGCCTTTAATCATGAACTTTCTAAGCTTTTCAATGAGATGTGGGATGCAGATGTTCACCGCCTGAGGCCTGGGAAAGACTATACAATTGATGTGCAGGTAACCAATTGCTAAGTCAGGATTAAGGGCACAGTGTGGTGCTGCAGGAAAAAAATTTTTGCTTAAAAAGTTGCCTGTGCTTTGTCATGTCCAGTGGGGAAAGCATCCCTTCGGAGAGGGGATGGTACAGAGAACACAAATGGTTCACACTTACCTGGACTTTGGTTACAAGTGGAGTCTCTCAGATGTCTGTCTTGGGTCCTGTAATACTTCATCTCTGTGAGCTGGAGGAGGAACTAGCCTGCAACCCTTCCAGTTTTGCAGATGACAGCAAATTGTAGTGATGAAATTGGTATGATCAGATACAGGGCTTCTCCTCCACTGGACATAGGCAGGCTGGAGGAATATGCTAAGAACATAATGAAATTCAACAAAGACAAAGGAACAGGATGCCCAGAGAAGCTGTGAAATCTCCATATTTGGAGGTTTTCAAGACCCAAAAAGATGATACCCCGAGAAATAATCTGAATTCAGTGTTAACCACACTTTGAGCAGCACTAGAGATGTCCTTCTCCACCCTGTGTGTTTCAATGTGTGAATGACAGCTTGTGCATGTGCTCTGGGTGACTTGCAGCAAGGGAGAAAGGGAGATAGGCCCCAAATCATTCTTAGGGGAATAAGGGAGGAATTTGAGAAATTCCTGGGTTTCTCTGTGAGAGCAGGGAGTAGCAGAGAGGGGTGGGTGAAGATTTCAGGACTGTTGCTTCCAGTCCCAGGGAAATGTGAGGGAGGAGTGAGAGATTTCATAAGCAACCATTTCACTCCTTGCTAGCTTAGTGCATTGCAAACATGACCATGTGTTTTGGCCACAAATTGCAACAGGCCAGAATATTCACAATCCAGTTTTGTACTCACACAAGAACCCACTTTATTCTGATGTTACTCAAATGCTTTATTCCAATATTGCTTCTTATTATAACAAATAATTTCCTGTTGCTGATAAACTCAAAATAGTGGTACCTACCTCAAGCCAAAATGTGTGTGGGGAAAACTTCTCCCATATGGTTTCTCCATTTGTCAGAACAAGGCTCTAGGTACCTCTTGCCTGTGTTAACAAGCTGCTACTCATCTTCTATCTTCTTTCCTTGAGAATGCCCTTTATGAAATAGAAATTTGAAAATTTTCAGGAAAGTCTCCTTAAAACTGCAGAGACAGAAGGTACCCAAATCTCCTGTTTATTTATTTGTGGTGGGAGGGAGCCCTTGCTCTACATAACTTCTGGTTACCATTTGTGATTTATATAGTGTAATGACACAGCTGGTTACTGAGCAGAACTGAACTATCACATGGGCCATTACAATAATCTCTGAGTAAACAGAAATTTCAGGCTCTTCCAGATGTCAGAGATTGTCTTTTTTCTTGATGCTGGCAGTTCTGTAATATTGTCTGTCGTTTCACAGGAAGACAATTCCTAGCAAATAATCCTGATAGTGTTATGGGGTTTGTTTGACTATCACAAAGGAAGGAACTGTCTCCTCAAAGGACATCTTACTCCTTACATTGTTTTCCTCTGTTTTTCCTAGGGAAAAGCAGGTCCAGCACAGCCAGGTGACAGTGCTGTCCAGGATAATGCAGCCCGACATCTGTTTCACAATGTAAGCGAAGAACGCCTGAGGAGCATAAAAACTTTTGCAAGTGAGACCTGTTCTTTTCTAAATGGTGGCTATAATATTAAAAAAATCTGTGCCGTTTTTGACGTGTTTGCTTAAAATATAACATTATATTAAATTTGGATGATGGTGAGGATCATCAGACTGCAGGTTGTTTGAAGGGAGTTTTCGTAACAGTTGCTTAGAGATTGTGTACCTGAGCCACAGGAGGAACATCTTTTTGTGCCCCAGGCAAAATCTGAATTCTCTGGCTCTTCCACTACAAAGTAAAAGGGAAGAGACACTTACCAGGTCAAGAAGTGGCCCAAGGGCACACACAGGGTTCAACAAGACCAAGTGTTGGTGCTGCACCTGGGAACAGCCTCTGGGATCAATCCAGGCTGGGGATGAGCAGAGGGAGCAGCCCTGGCAGAAGGACTTGGGGGTGCTGTGGGTGAGAGCTGGCCCTGCCCCAACCCAGAGCCCCCCTGTGCTGGGCTGCACCCAGAGCCCCAGGGCAGCAGGGCAGGGGGGATTCTGCCCCTCTGCCCCGCTCTGCTGAGACACCCCTGCAGGGCTGCATCCAGCCTGGGATCCCAGCACAGCAAGGACAGGGAGCTGCTGGAGCCAGGCCAGAGCAGGGACACCAAGGGGAGCAGAGGGATGGAGCAGCTCTGCTGGGAGGAAAGGCTGAGGGAACTGGGATTGTTCAGCCTGGAGAGGAGAAGGCTTTGGGGTGACCTCATTGTGGCCTTGCAGTGCCTGAAGGGAACCCACAGGAAAGAGAGAGAGAGAGAGAGAGAGAGACTCTTGACAGGGGCCTGGAGTAACAGGACAAGGGAGAATGGCTTCACACTGACAGAGAGCAGGTTAAGATTAGAATTTAGAAAGAAATTATTTCCTATGAGGGCAGTTGAGACATAAGGGTGAACAGTTTGTCCAGAGCACTGCGCCATCCCTGGCAGTGTCCAAGGCCAGGCTGGATGGGGCTCTGAGCAACCTGGGATAGTGGATGGTGTCTCTGACCATGGCAAGGAGTTTGAACTGGATGATCTTTAAGATCTCTTCCAACTCAAACCATTCTATGATTCTATGCATTGACAAAGATACCAAATTAATATTTGCTCCTTTACTCACAACTTCCAAGCCCTTTGAAATAGTACAAACCCACAGCTAGCTCTTGCATTTCTGTCGGAGGCTATACTTCAACCATGTCTATGAATACATGTTTCCTTCCCTAATTTTGCTCAAGCTCAAGACATCTGATACAGCTTCATGCTCTGCTATTCCTCTACTGAAATAATGCCCACAAAACCTTGTGCCAGCATAGCTCAAGGTCCTAAGCCTGTGCCTAAAATTGTGGTGGGCAGGCGTAAATCACGCCTTTTGGTAAAAGGTCATTATTACTTCAGCGCTTGGCTCCATAAGGAAGCTCAGTAGCTGTTTATCTTTTTAAAGGTCTATAAAAAGTACAGCAATGATCTGGCTTTGAGTCACCTTGAAGCCTACACTTAACACTATATCTGAGAGTAGAATCTGATATGTAAAGGAATTACTTTCTCTAAGGGCTGTCAAGGCATATTCTATGGTGACTTTTTATGATGGCATTCTAATCTCTGGATATGAGCAGACTGAAAGTTTCACTTTTTCTGCAGCCTTTATTTCCTTATTGGACAACTATGAGACATCAACTGGTGTAGCAGAAGTAGTGACTCCAGAAGAAATAGTTGAAAACAATTCTTTCCTTGATGCTATCTTAGCAACAGAAGTCATAAGAGTGAGTAACAGAAATATTTTTTGTCACTGAAAACACTGATTAAAAAAGTAAACTGTGTATGTATATTCATTTTCTACCCTTCAGCTAGCTCATGACTATCTGCTGAAAAAAAGGCTAGCAAAGCCCAACCTTGCTGATTTCAAACATCAGCTTTATGACATCTGGTTCCAGCTCTATGCCAGGAAAGAAGGAGACAGGTATGTTTGATGGGTGTGGGAACTGATAATCTCTGTGCTATTCTGATTAAGGTAAATACAAGCCGAAGTGCCTTCTCCTACACACAAGTGGAAAACAGCTTCAGAATGGCTTCAGAATGACAGCGAGCAGGTTTAGATTGGATATGAGGAAGAAATTCTTCCCTGTGAGGGTGCTGAGGCCCTGGCACAGGTTGCCCAGCGCAGCTGTGGCTGCCCCATCCCTGGCAGTGTCCAAGGCCAGGCTGGATGGGGCTCTGAGCAAGCTGGGATAGGGGAAGGTGTCTCTGCCCATGGCAGTGGGTTGGAATGAGATGGGCTTTAACATACCTTCCAAACCAAACCATTCTGTGGCTCAATGAAACATAAAAAAGACCTGTATATTCTTTTTTCTTCTTCATTACAGACCTGATTCTTGTGGTTTTGAACACGTTTTTGTTGGAGAAACAAGGCATGGTAAAGAGATCTTAGGTTTGCACAACTGGGTGCAATTTTACCTTCAGGAAAAGCGCAATCAGATTGATTACAAGGGATATGTGGCTCGGAAGAACAAAACCAGGGTAAGAACAAGGCTCTGGGGGCCTTTGCAAGTAAAATAAATTGATCCAGAGATAAAAGTTGTAATGAAACAAGTGTAATAATGCAATCATAGGCTCAGTGTTTTGAACAGCACTAAGTATATACAGTACATAACTGTATATAAGAAGAATGAATAATAACATGTCTTCCAGCTTCTTTTGTTGCAAAAACTATTTTAAAAAGTAGTGCTGGTGTTTACAGAATTGCAACACTGCTAAGGCTTAGCTGGGATAAATGGTCATGTATGCTTCAGAGGTCAGGGAAAAGGTTGTGCTCCATCTATAGTGTTGAAGCACACCAAGGATGACTAAAGCTTACAAAGCTCTCAAAAATCTGGAATCAGAAATTCTATCTGTCTAGTCACAGCTGTGTTGGCTATTATTCTGTTGTTTCATTTATGCTTTCAGCCTGATAAAGATGACCAAGTTTTGAGCATCCAGTTCAGCTGGAAGGGCTCAGTCAAGCCAGTTGGAAGCACCTTTATTGGTGTCAGCCCGGAGTTTGAATTTGCCCTTTACACAGTCATTTTCCTGCTGTCTGAAGAAAGAGTCACACGCGAAACAGTGAAGATAGATGAGTACGAGCTACAGGTGGTTGTCTGGCGCCATGGGCACCACATTGGAACAGCATATCCAGTACTGCTCAGCACCACTAGCGAAGATTAGTGGAGTGAGAAGGAAACTTCTTTTTTTTAAAATTGAGGGAAAGACGAAGTGGTGGAGAGAAGAGGAATGAATGGGGGGTGGACAGGACCAGACAGCAAAGTTAATATGTTGTTTTATACAACTCATTTAAAGTAAAAATTGATGACTCTGTCTCTTTTGGTCTGCAATGGAGTGTTTAATCAGTAGAGTGCTGTGACACTGTCTGAGAAACCATGAAGCATACTCCTGCTAACATTAAATTTACATCTAAATTACATCAGTCTTCCCTGCACTGTACTTTTCAGCAAAATATGGCATTTAGGAAAAGATTCTATTAAAATTGATATACATCTTTCTCTTATTTGTTAGTCACTGCATATCTAAAAGAGCAATAACCACACATTGCTTACACTTTAACTTCCAGATAGAAGCTTTGAATTGGCACAGGCAGAATCCCAGGATGTTTTAGTCTCCTCTTCTTATTTCATAAGAGGTTAATTTCAAATGCATTATTACAATACAATGGCCTGGACACACAGGGAACACATTTAGGTGGGGAGATGGTCATCAGATCCACAGCAAGCCTTAAAATATTTTCTGTTTCTTTTACACAATTTTCATATACTCCCTTTGCATTCCTGAAACACCTGGATGACAACTTCATGCTACAGGTACTAAGAGGGCTGACTCAGAAAGATACTCTCCCTCCTTGATTTATTGCCTGTCAATACAGTGGAGCTTGTGATCCTCTTGAGTGGAGATTGATGGCTGTCTTGGCCACAGCGACCATGAAGCCATCAAGTTTAAGATCTCCTGTGACAGGAGGAAAAGTGCCAACAAAACTTCAACCCTGGGCATGGGAAGAGGGACTTCAGCTGCTCAGGGAAGCAGTAAGTAAAGTCCCCTGGTGTAGTGGTTTTGGTTCACCAGTTTGAGATTTTTGAGATCTTGAATTTGAGATTTTGAGGGAAAAAAAAAAGAGATTTTTTTTTTCCTCAAAATTTGAGATTTGAGATTTGATTTGAGAACCAACACACCTGGAAAAATGGTTTTAAAGGTTCTGGGGTCCATCAATGCTGGTCGTTTTTAAGCACCTGTTCCCGAGGGCACAGGAACAGGCAATTCCTAAAAATTGGAAATCAAGCAGATGAAGTAGAAGGCCACCTTGGCTGAACAGGAATCTTCTTTTGGAGATAAGATAAAAAAGGAAGGTATATGCCCAGTGTAAGCAAGGCCAGGTGATGTGGAAGGAATACAGAGATCCTGCTCACCACTGCAGGGGGAGAATTTGTGTAGCCAAAGCTCCATTACATTTGAAGCCACCAGAAGTGTTGGGGACAATAAAAAGACAGTTTTAAAAATACATTAATGGCAAAAGGCAGTGCTGAAATTACATCGGCCCATTACAGGATGAGGATGGTCATCTCACAAACTGGGCCATGGACAAGGCAGAGATGTTTAATGCTTTCTTTGCCTCTGTCTTCAGTACTGATGATGGACTAGAGAAGTCTCAGCACCCTGAGCTAGAGGACTGTGGCTATGACAATGATAAACTCTGAGTTAACCCTGAAGGTGTGAGGGATCTGCTGCTCCAGCTGGATCCCTATAGGTCTATGGGGTATGACAGGATTAATCTGAGAATCCATAAAGAGCTGCTCATATCATCGTGAAGCATCTCTTGATAATTTTCTAACAGTCTTGAGAATCTGGAGAGATCCCAGTTTTCAAAGAGGGCAAGAAGGATAACCCTGAAAGCTACAGGCCTGTCAGTCTCACTCCAGTGCCTGGTGAAATTATGGAAATTATTATGATTATTCTGGGATGTATTGAAAAACACCTGAAGGACAACACAGTCATTGGTCGCAGCCAGCACATCTTCATGAGAGGAAAGTCCTGCTTTTAAAAAATAATTTCCTTTTATGCTAAGGCAACCCACCCAGTTGATCAAAAAACATCAGTAGATGTAATCTTTTTGGATTTCAGTAAAGCTCTGGATATCGTCTATCTCAGCGTGCAGCCCACAGCTGGATAAACACATTGTGTGATGGCTGAGCAACTTGCTTACAGGTCAAGCACACAGAATGACAGTACCTGGGTGACAGCAGACTGGCAGCCTATTACTTGTGGGGTTCCACAGGGCGCCTCTTAGGCCCCATGCTCTCAAAAATCCTCATAAAAAGCTTGAATGCAGGACAGGAAGGGATAATACGTAAGCTTGCAGATACAAATACAAAACTGGGAGGAGCTGTTGACTCCCTCAAGGGCGAAGAGACCCTGCAGAGAGTTCTGGATAAATGACAGGGCTGGGCAATCACCAACTGGGTGAAGTTAACAAAGGCAAGGCCTGGATTCTGCACCTGGGACAGGACAGCCCGGGATGTACAGGCAGAGTGGGAATGAGAGGCCGGAGAGCAGTGCTGTGGAAAGGGACTTGGGGGTCCTGGTAAGTGGCCAGCTGGACAGGGGCCAGCAGTGCCCTGGAGCCAGGAGGGACAGCCCTGTCCTGGGGCACTGGGCCCAGCATGGCCAGACAGGGGATTGTCCCGCTCTGCTCTGGGCTGGGGCGGCCTCATCTTCAATATTGAATATTTTGGGTGCCACAGTATAAGAAAGATCTAAAGCTGTTAGAGAGTGTCCAAAGTAGGATTTTGGAGATGGTGAAGGGCCTGGAGGTGAAGCCACACGAGGAGCAGCTGAGGGCACTTGGTGTGTTCAGCTGGAGGAGAGCAGACTGAGGTCAGAGCTCACAGCAGTTCCGCAGCTTCCTCACGAGGGGAACAGGAGGGGCAGCTCTGATCTGAGACCAGGAACAGGACCCAGGGCACGGCTGGAGCTGTGTCAGGACAGGGTTAGGGTGGGTATCAGGAAAAGGTTCTTCCCCCAGAGGGTGCTGGACACTGAACAGGCTCCCCAGGGAATAGTCATGGCACCAAGGATGACGCTCGCATGCTCAGGGCATGATTGTTGGAGTGTCCTGTTGCCAGGCAGGGCCAGGGGTAAGACCCAGGATAGCTGTGGGTCCCTTCAAACACAGAATATTCTGTGAAAATTTCAAATGCCACGGAGAGCAAAACAGAGGCTCCTACAGTGGTTGAATCATCACAAGGGGCTGCTCAGGCTGGGATTCACAGGAGGAACCATTGGAGAACAGCAGGAGAGCACCAGCTGAGAGATGTGATGAATGAGTTCAACATTGCCCTGGCCCTGAAGGAGAGCAAGAGAGTCTGAAGCCAGGTTCTGCTGTAAATTTGAAACACAAAGGATTCTGATATCAGGAATATCAGGTAGAAAACCACAGACCTGTCACACAGAACACCGGGTCTGGGGACTAAAATCCAATTCTGGCGTAGGCACTCAGTTTCCTTCAGCCTGGGGAACATCCCTGCAGCCAAAGGCCCCAGATCACACTGCACGCCTGGACAACACTTCAGAGTCCTGCTTCATCTTTGCATAGGTGGCAGGGCAGAACTGGGCATAGAGCTGAGCCAGCAGAGCCTGGGAGGGGATCTCCAACTTGGTCCCGTGGCTCAGTTTGTTCCAAATGTGCACTGCATAGGTGTTCTTAAGGAATTTCTGAAACTCCAAGGCACTGACTGCCTCAAACAACTTCTTCCAGTCCTGCCAGGGAATAGGATAAACAACTTCTTGGGCAAGAGCACTCACACCTTTGCAGTTCATGCTCTTGATAGTCCCGAGGGAGCACCATTTCTTGAAGACACG